TTTCTGAAATATTAAGATAAAATTTTCTTGTTTAGATAATGTGAAAAGTCTTTCCCTATTAATAATATAAAGAAAGATTTCTTATCGTAAAGAAAAATGAAGGAAGAGGTAATCAAATTTTGATTGATTATGCAAAATTTAAGCTATTGATTAATGAAGGAGCTCGATTATTGCATTATAAGTTGGTTTAGAAACCGAGAGTACGACACGACTCGGATCATGTATATTGCATCGTAAGAGATCTCTCCTCATCACATTTTATGCAAATCCCGAAACTTGATTGCTCTCCTAAGCCAGAAATAGCTCTTCGATAATAAAAAAAAACTCTCTGACAATATTTAATAATTAAAAATAACATAATATTGTCTTTTGTTTCAATAAAATGATATTGAAATATGATTTTATAATTTTGGAAGTGTGTGGAAGGTTTAATTTTATTATCTAAGATAATAACATTTTTTCTAAATATTTAATTTACTAAATTAATAACGATTAGAATACTAAAAATTTTTAACTGAATATATTAGTATCAAGAATAAAAATAAAATATTTTATATTGTAAATTGTGAAATAAAATGGAGTTGAGAAATTCGTATCGTTTTTGTATAAAGAAATACAGTAAATAGACAAATATATGAAGTCTTCGATGAAACTATATTAAAGTGATGCTAACTTTTCAAGAGGGAATAGGAAAATTTTGATGTCTATTTTTAAGCTGCATAGCTGGTGTGCTCGAGAGCATTTGAACTTCTCTTTTAAAGTTTATTCCCATCGTCCGACGATCGATTCAAATTCAAGTTGATACGACTATTCGCATGAACTCCCTCGAGCTCAAAAAGAATTATTTAACACCCTTCAGTGTTCGGAAACTTAAAATGTTTTTAACACGTCGAAAACTATTTATATTGCGTACCGATATTATATGTCCTGCAACATATTTTGTTTATTTCTTTATATTTAGAAAGACATTATTTAAAATATTAAAATTGAGTGATTTTCGATATTCTTTCATGAAGCAAAATAAATCTTTAACAACGATAAATAAATTCCAATTTTTTTGGTATTCTTTTCAATCTTTTCTTATAAATGACATTTCATTGTATTGTTTGCACATTTTTACTCTTAGAAAAATTCACATTGTGTATTTTCATATATAATTAAAAAAAATTTTTTTATCATGATTATGATTTCAACAACACTTTTTTTAAATTGGCAAATTTGTTATTTCTTTTCACAAAATTAATAGCTAATTCACTACTTTTGCTAATAAAGAGAAATAATTACTTATGTAAATAATATGAACGACTACTAAAGTCTGATCTAGTGAAATTATGCCTTCCCAGCTGAAAAAGTTCTATAGAATTTTACTAGAATTATTCTATAGAATCATTCTATATGAATTCTAGTGAATATTCGATAGAATTTCACTAGAACGATTCTATAGAATTTCTACATAAATTCTACTAAATTTTAAAGATTTTTAATTAGAATATAAATTTCGTGAAAATTTTTTTTCAACTTTATATTATTGTGTAATTAAATTTTACATTTGATTTCTATGACAAAATATATATTATATATAATTCATTTAACTAAAACTACTGAAATTATTTTAAAATTCGGACCAAAAAAAAATATATTTTACTTAAAACAATAAATTAAATTTTTTCATAACTACACAGAGAGAAAAAACAAGGCTTTTCCCCATGAAAAAATACGCATTTAACGCGTGAAAATTATCACAGTAAAAATGCAGGACGCTCACAGGTTTTCCCGGTGAGATTCTAGGGCTAAGGCGTGACCTAACCGCTAAACGCATGAAATTCATCGGGAAATCCGGTGAAACTGCTACCTGAAAAGGCATGAATTGAAGTCACGGGGAAAAGCCTTGTTTTTTCTCTCCGTGTATAAAACATGAAGATATCGATATATATATCGATCACTCCGAGTCTTCGACTCGGAGTGATCGATTTCTTCATGTTTCATAAAAATTAAAGATGGCAAATTGATAAAATAATTATTTTATATTATAAGAATATTGTACTTCTTCAAAATTATTTTCATCGTTTCAATTCAATTATTATTTTTAATAATTTTTCACTAAAATTTTTAAAAAAATTTATAAAATTTCTTTAAATTAATTAATTTTTGAAAAAGTTCTTCGAAAATTGTCAAAATCCAATAATTTCTAAAAATTCACGCTATGTTGGTTTTAATATTCAATTATTATCTAAAATTTTAACTGAAATTCATTTTCAAATCAATTTTTATTAGAAAATTCTACTAGAATTTAATTATTTAAATACAAAAATAAATAATTTTGTTGAATTTTTCTTAAAATACAATTCTCATAAAGATTTTTATCATCATATTTTTAAATAATTGAATTCTTTCGACGATTTTTAATAAATTTTTTAAGAATAATTACATTTTCTTGAGAAATTTGATTAAAATTGTTATAAAAATAATTAAAATTCTGCATCGAGTTTTATTATTTCTGAAAATAATTAAATTCCTAAGAAGAATTTTACTATTATTTAACATAATTAAATTTCTGCGAAGGATTATATTTCTCTTAAAAACAATTGAATTTCTGCAATAATTTGTAACTTCTCCAAAATAAAAATTTTTTTTAGTGTAAACTAAAATTTTTCTATAAAAATCCATTATTTTTAATAATTTTTGAAAAAGTTTTATGAGAATTTTCAAATTCATTTGTTTTCAACTGAAATTCATTTTTAAATAAATTTTTATTAGAAAATTCTATTAGAATTCAATTATTTAAATACAAAAAAATAATTTATTGAATATTTGAATGTTTCTTAAAATTTGTATTCTCATAAAGAATTTTATCATCAAATTTTTAAATAATTGAATTTGGCTGACGAATTTTAATAAAAGTTTTAATAATAATTACATTTATCGAGGAATTCGATTAAAATTTTATAAAAAATAATTTAAATTCTGCGATGAGTTTTATTATTTAAATAATTAAATAATTAAAAATAAAATAAATAATAATAATATAATTTAAATAATTGAATTTCTTATAAGAATTGTATTATTTAGAAAAATAATTGAATTCCCGTAATAATTTTATTTTTTATAAAAATAATTGAATTATATTGCGAAGAAGCTTATAAAAAATTTTTAAATAATTGAATTTTTTGATAAATTTTTATTATTTTATAAAAATAATTAATTATTTGCGTAGAATTATATTAAAAAATTTTTAAATAATTGAATTCTTTTGGAAAATTTTATTAAAATAATAGATATATTGAAAATCATTAAATTTTTGAAAATAATTGAAATTTTGCAAAGAATTTTATTAAAAGGTTTTCAAATAATTGAATTTCGGAAAAGAATGTTATTATTTATAACGGATATTGAAATTTTGACAAGAATTTAAAAAATTGAAAAAAAAAATTTTAATTATTAATTTATGTTAATAAATTGTTAATTTATGTTTAAAAATTTTTAAACATAATTGAATTTCTGCCAAGAATTTTATTACTTTTAAAAATAATTGAATTTCTGCAATCATTTGTAATTTCTCTAAAATTTTCCAAATTATATCGTACAATTTACGAACTTTTCGTCCTTTTTTTAATCAAATTACGGACTTTACGGACCTTTACGGTATTTACGGATTTAGCTCGAGCCCTGTAGTAACCATACACTAATATAATGTTAATTAAAAAAATTTTTTCACAAAATTTATATTCTTTCTAATTAAAAATCCCTAAAATTTAGCAGAATTAATGTAGAAATTCTATAGAATCGTTCTAGTGAAATTCTATAGAATATTCACTAGAATTCATGTAGAATGATTCTATAGAATGATTCTAGTAAAATTCTATAGAATTTTTTCAGCTGGGTTTTTTCTATTAGTATCTGGAGTACCAGAGACTAATAACAATTATAAAATAATTAATTTTAGTAATTACATTTACTTATGTTTATGACTCTTTTTGAAATAGTATAAATATTTTTCAAATTTAATATTTATAATTCTCTTTTAAAATGATATTATATTATAAAATAATGTCCTGATGAAGTAAACTGTTCAGAATGCGAAAGGGATGGACACAATCATCTGTAATATATCTCGGAATGTAACGAGAAAAGAATATCACTTGTTTAATTTTCTCAGATATAATTGTGATTTTAAATTTGTGTTAATTATCGGCAAATAGTTAGAGAGCTAAAACGTGTCGTTTTTAGTAAAGCAATGTTTACGACTGTTTGACAACGCTGCCTGGAGATTGAGTGGACGCCCGTGATCGTTTGAGCCTGTTTCTATGTGTTTATAAAGAGTTTATTTAAATGCAATAATGCATTTAGAGTTCTGCAAATGCCACGAATTTCCCTACAAGGCAACAGCAACCTAATATTATTTATGCATAACTTTAAAAAAAGTTTTGGCAAAATTTTACTTTTGTTCTATTTGTGTTATTTACTCTTAAATCCAATTGTTTTCTGGTATACAATTATTCATCATTTATTGTGTATTTTACTTTCATTATTCATTCACTAAATTGAAAAATAATTGAATTATGTTGATAATTTAAAGTTTTAATTAAAATACTTTATAACAATGATCTCCACAGAATTACTTCAATGAAATAAAATAAAAACGTTACTAATGCCTTTTAGGAAAGATCGTTGAAAATATTAGTGTATGTGTTTACTAGGCTCTATATTAAATGAAAAACTAATTCACTGTGCTCTTGTGTGTTTTAATCTGAGGTGGACTTTTCATAAATGTTTGAATACAATTTTTCCCAACGAGCTTCTCATTTAAATATCAGTCGTATTTGCAAGTGATTTCTTTAATAGTCTGTTCATTTGTTGACACGAGCACAATGAATCAAATGCAACTGTGTAGTATTTAAAACATTTAGAATGTCGAGATAATGAAGGGGATAAAGCACTGTTGAATTTTGAAAATCGACACTTTCAACTTACCTTTGATAATAAACTGTTTTATTATATAGGTGGACCTGAGACACATGGACGAAAAATCTGGAAGTAACGTTGTGGATGTTGGTGTCGATTTATCAGAGTTCTATATGTCAGTTGAGTGGGATATACTCGAAGTACCAGCAGTAAGGTAAATATTAAAAGCAATTAAAATTTATTTAACCTTCATCTCTGTAGAAAAATAAATTGTTGTCATTTCTAGAACTTTGAAATAACTTGTTTTAAACTTTTTTTTACTTATTTCTGTTAAATTAAAGAAAAATAATAAATATTTGTAAGAACCCAGTGAAGCTTTAAATCGCTTTTCAAATTATACAAGAGTTTTAAAGCTGTTTTATTTTCACGAAATACATATATATATATTTATGTCATGCTTCCAAATATTGTTAGATTAAAGAGAAGAAAATATTGCGTTGAAATGAAAGCCAAGTTAAAAAAATGTCCGTTATACTAAAACATGCTGTTACTTGACAGAATTAATTAATTAAAAAAATTTTATTTAAAAACAATGATTTATAATTCAGAAGTATATATTATAATAGAAATCGAGTATTTAAAAGTATGAATGTAGAATACTTTACTGTTACCTAATAAATGACTATATTTGAACTTAATACATGATTAAGTGCTAATTTACGTTCGCGTACATTTAAATTGAGCTCTTAGTCTAATTTCCATAATGTGTTAAATATTATCAAGTTTGTATGCAATATGTAAAACTAAAAATGAAACATTGTCTTTTCCAGAAATGAAAAATTTTACACATGTTGCGACGAGCCTTATTTGGATATTACATTCAACATCACTATGAGAAGGAAAACGCTGTTCTACACCGTTAACATCATCATTCCTTGCATGGGAATTTCATTTCTCACTGTGCTAACATTTTACCTTCCAAGTGATAGTGGTGAAAAAGTGAGTATTAAATTAATAATTTCATAAGTGTAACCCATGTAGAAAAATTCTTTGAAAAGTGCAACTATAGGAATAATAAACATACTTATATGTAATAATATAATTTTATTAATAATTTTAAGTATTTTTATTATCTTTAAATATAGGCAAATAGGATGTTAAAAGCTGTAGATTGTGTTGTTACACACAGTATAGGTACCTTACTGTCAAGGCTAAAAAATCTGAAGATAGATGATTTTAAATTCTTTTAGTCAGCTAAAATCGACGCTTTAACTGACGTACAATTATTATGCAAACTTATACGTGCTTTTGTTTATATTTTCCTTTAAAAATCGAATCAATTCAATTCAATTTTCAGAAAGTAATAAAAACATTTTTTCACTGTAAAAAAGTTTTCTATAGATGATTTTTGTAATTTTTAGATCAAGTGCGCAAAACAAACGCATAATGTATATGAATTATCCTAACAAAATAAATATGGATATTATGTCAAATATTGCTCTGTCTCTAATCTTATGCGAAACGTAAGATTCAGGATTTAAATTAACATTCACTTCACGAAGCACTTGAACGCAAGTAGATCTTATATTTATACTGACTTCTTCAAGTCCTTTGATAAATTCGAACACAAAATTCTCTTTCTAAAAATATTCCTCTTACAATTAGATTTACTATTATGCTAATTTCAAGATTAAAATCTTACTTGACCAACCGACATATCATAGTCACTTTTTTTGTTGACATTCTCAAACTTTTTAATATACATCCTAAAAAAGAAACTTTAGTTAGCAGATTCCTCTAAATTAAATGCATATTTCTCTTATGATATGAAATTTAATAGTTTTCACTTAAAAAGATTTTCTTCCATTATACTATTGTATAGTTATAATTCCGAGCAACGTGAGACCGAACAGTTTTTTACACAATATACAAAGTATGTGTTTCTTTTTAATTTTTTCGAATCAGCTTTTCTGTTATATAGTTTAAAAAATTACAAACGTATAATTTATGACTTCGTAATTTTTTTTGTCGTACCTATTGAAATTATATTATTAGAATATAAGGAGCGAACATTAAAAAAGTGAAAATTGAATATCAAATAGTGTCATTAAAAAAAAGTTAATCTTACATTTCTCTCTAGTAGAAGTAATGCTGTTGAAAGAAACAGAATCTGCTTTTTTCATAATTTTCATTTTGTTTCGAAAAGCTCTCTTTTCATTCTTCCATTAATATTAGATAAATCTTTTCTTTTCTTTTTATTAAAATTATGTTGATATTCTCATTTAATTTTATAAATTGAAATTATTTTTGCTCAGCTATGAATTTAATTTTTTTAAAACTATGTTTTAATAAATCCTTGGAAATGGCAATTTTTTTTATTTTTCTCTCAAGTTTGTTTATGAACCAAATTTTCTTTTATTATACTTTCTTTGCTTTTCTACCTTTTTTCTTCTTATCCAATAAGTTTTCTTTCTATTATTCAACAAAAATCTTCTTGGTTTATTTTTGAAAGTTTCAATATTTTGATTTTTACCCAGCGCGCTAATATTCAATTTATCATAACTTTTACTAGAGTGCTTGAATTTTATTTTTTTTATAAGTGTTCTCAAAAGTATTTTTCCTCAGCTATAAAATAAAGATATTTGTTAAAACATTTATAGTCTAAAATTTTTTAATGAGAAGTTTATTTGTTGTATAAGAAAAATATAGAGAAGTATTCATTTATTCCAAAAGTTTCAATTCTTTGGCGTTCATTAGAGCAAATTGAAAAAATATTTCGATGTTTGTATACCAAAGTTGATTCATGGTCTGAATCAACTTTGGTAAACAATATACTGAAAATCGAAATATTTTTCATGTATTTTTTTCTTTTCTATTGTAAAAAATGTTTCTATTTTTGCAGTATGTATTTGAATCTATTTTCAATCAATTGAAAAAAATTTATAAAAAATGTATTATAAAAAATGCGATTTTTCTTAAAAATTTTTCCTGAAAGGAACTTAATTTAAATACAAAATTTTTGAACATTTTTGTAGTTTATGGAATATTTTTATTTTTTTACATAGATTTAATATGTAAAAGTCAGTACTTTTTTCTCTCGTTGAATTACTTTCGCATCACAGAATTCGTGGGACAAAACTAAAAATTTACTCTTTATAAAGGGCCGCTTGCCAACTTTTGACTAGTGGTAAACCTGTTCTCACTTTATTTTTTGCTTCTTTGGAAAAGCATTGCCTTTGCACTCCAGAAGCAAGGGAAATCTCGCATAAAATTTGCACAGCAATTTCGAGATAAAAAATATCTACATTTAAAACAGAATGAGAGTATACTTTTCACTTTTAATGTGTGCATGAGTTTGTCAACAATAATTAAATAAAAATTAACATATTTTTTAGAAAAAATTCAAATTTATACTAAAAAATGAATTCTACTTGTTAATTAAAAGTGTATATTATATTTAATAAATCAACTAGACAAAAATGTTTAAAAAAAACAATATTTTTAGCACTTGGCAGCACTGAATCTTATTCCTCAGTGTAACTACTTTAATCTTTAAACAATTGTTTTCTTTGGACATTGTGATTTCTGCTATACTCTTAGGAACATAAATTCTGCAGAACTACATGAACATTACTCAACACAAAAAATATAAATTATATTGCAGTTTTGTGAAAATGCTGGACACGAACTACGGATGTCAACCTAAAACGTGCACTTCTGTTTGAAATGCAATTCTAATCTATTTTAGTACGCGGATGAACTTTAATGTGTAGCTCGTTTAACTTTTGAAACGACGCTACACTCGCACCCAGGAGGGCAGAAATAATTAACGAACCGATCCGAATACAACTTTAGAAGGATGAAAATATATGCTGTCTAAAATAACTTTTCTGAGTATTTCGTGATTTAAGAAAAAAGAGGAAATTTTATTAAACAAAATTCGAAAGTACTAATTGAAATAGATTACACAGCTTGTTAACTTTTATCCTGAAAACTTCAAATCCAATTTATGTACTCACTTTTTTTGATTCGCGATCATAGGATTAAAATTCAGCAAACTTGTATGAGCAAATTTATGGAACTGGTCGATTTTCACTTATAAAGTTAAACATTTTTAAATTATAAGATTGTTTTTTATTTGAGGTTAAGGTATTTTAAGTAATAAAATGTTCTATTTCATAAATATATTACTTATGACAGTAAAAATTAATATATTTATCAATAGGTAATTTTATTTGTAATCAAATGTTGTGTTATTTGGGAGTACTATTGATTTAGTAAAAAAAACTACTATTTCAAATTTAAAGGAATACTTTTATTTTCGTAGCAAAATAAATAGTTATTCAAAGTAAATTGTGTTTTATCGTTGAATCAAGAGCCCTTTAAAAGTTGTTACAAAAAGCAGATAATAAAAAGTAGAGTAAAAATCAAGATAGAATGAAAATTTGCGGCTACTGGGAAAAAAAATTTTTCCATTTAGAAACCTTTCACAGCACGTCACTCAAATCGACAGAATCGATAAGCAATGTCGTGGACCTACGGTCACAAGGGACATATATTTCGGTTTCAAACTGTGTTCTTTTCCTTTTCTTTAACTATACTTTATAAAGAGTGTTTACTCTCTGAAAATATCTTTATTTCTGAGTGAGCTTTTCTGTCATGAATATTTTTCTTCTCAGAACAAAGAAATTAAGAAAAAAAATTTTATTCTACAAAACTTTTTTAATTTACGATAAAGCAAAAATCAAAAATTTATTATTCTAAATAAACTTATGTTTCAAATTTTTTGAATTTTCTTGGTCCAAGTTTGACGACTTACGTTTTCTAAGAAAAAAAATTACATGTTAATGCCTATAAGTAACTTTCATTCTGTAGAAAATAAGCTCAAGATAATTAAAAAGCGTTCATTATTTTAGAAGTTATGCAAATTTTTGTAAAACATTGAAAATTACGATTTTTTAAAAATATCTCAATAAAATACTGTCGAAATGACTTCTGTAAGGTCAACATTTTATCATATTTTATAACATATACCGAAAAAAATTTTAGTTTTCATAAATTTTATGTTTAAAAACTTTTTCATTCCCCTGAAAATGGGAGGTCTCTCAATGTTGACCGGTACTGTTTTTATATTATTTATTATTTATAATAACTAATCAATAAATTTACTGATATTCTTGTTTAAAGATGAGGTCATCGATTAATATGATAACATTTGTGAATGCAGTAAACAATTATTATAGTTGCGATTAAATGTGGTAATAACTGTGGTTAAGGGAAGCGATCTGTAATCGAATTTCATTTAACCAACTGCGATTCTCTTTAGAATGAGGATGGCATCACTTTATAAAGGGTTGTGGCACAAACTGTGGCAAAATGTCGAGACATTTAACTATCTATCTGGTTAATGTCAACCTATGAAACAAGTAATTGTATTTTAGAATATTGTCATGTTTTGAAATTTTTAGCTGCGCAGGTTTTATTAAGAATTAAAATAAAATCTACTGATCAGAAAAAAATAACACAAAGAATACAAAATTTTAATTAATAACTTTTGAAAGCTGTAGAAATTATATACGTGCACAATATCCGACAGCTATGTATGTTTTCTAATAGTTTCTTTTTAAGTCGGTAAAGTTATTAAAACTTTTCATTTTCAATAGGTATTTATCGTTAAAATACTATTTATGTATCATACAATAATATTCCAAAATGATTTGTTCGATATTTTGTTCCAAAAGAAATTTTTGCCTTGGGCTTAACAAATTGTGTCATGGACCATAAGATAGAAAGTTTAGAAATTCTAATTGTAAGATAGAGACTACATTGGAAATTGGTGAAAATTAGAAAAAAGTGCACTGATCGTTTATAAATTTTATAATACAATAGGGTATTCCTCTTCTCTCAAATATTCCAGCTAGAGCTTAAAATTTTTGGGATTGGCTTGATACTTTGAAGAATTATTTTTTTATATGACAGCCCACACAGCACCAAAACTTTCCTAAAAATTTACTAAAGATTTACTTGCAAACTTCGAAAAATTTACTTGCAAAGTTTAGTGGAAAATGTGTAAAGATTCAAATGTACCACTTAAATAAATGTTTATAGTCAAATTTTCCAAAAAATTTAACGTAAAACTTTCCTGAACATTTAAAATAAATTTTCGACTTCTCTCTTATAAGCGAAAATGTAACTTAAAACTTTCCTAAAAATTTAAAAGTAAATTTTCGCCTATATACAGTAGGCGAAATTTTTTTTTAAATTTTCAGGAAAGTTTCACGCTAAACATTTATTGAAGTGGAACATTTAAATCTTTACAAAATTTTCACTAAACTTTTCAAGTAAATACTTCGAAGTTTGCAAGTAAATCTTTAATAAATTTTTAGGAAAGTTTCGGTGCTGTGTGGGAGAGTACCAAATTTCCAAAATATTTGAAAGTAGTGTAGTGGGGGTTGAAATTTTGACAATTTTAAGTAACACTGACATTTTAAAAATCATGTAATATTTGATTATAAATAAATAAATAAATAAATACAATAATATTAATAAAACTTTAACGATTTTAATTTTTGTTTAGTGAATTTTAAATCATTTTTCATGAACATTTTAAAATTAAATTTTTTTAAACTCTTTCTTTAAAATAAGGTTTATTTGTCAATGTTGACTCAATTGGGTATTTTAATTTTTTTTATTTTTATTGGAAAGCTGATATTTTTTCCAATAAAGTATGTAAATTTGATAGTCGGCTGGTCATAAGTTTACGAGAAAATTAAGAACAAACTAAGCGGAGTGCTCGCGCCACTAACGCTGTCACCCAAGTCGAGCGGGTGCAGAGTATTTCATTATTATATACATAGCTCTCGCTTTAACTTCATTTTATTGATTTAAATTACATTTTTAATACTATTCAAAATTTATCGAATAATCATGATTTCAATAAATAATTCTGTAAATTTCTTCTTTAACTTATTTTGTAATTTAAAAATTTTTGAATTGACAAATCTTATTTTGTAGAAGGTTTTTGGCGCTTATTTTTTATTAAAAAGTAATCAACTGCTGTAGATAAAGAGAATTTTTTAACTGAAGTCGTTCATCTTCAGTTGGAATAAATGCATGGTATTGCAATGTTCCTTTAATTGTTACTGCAGCATCAAATTTAGATTTTGAGCAGTTACATCGACATCGTCTTTGCTACTTAAAACTATTTATGTTTCTTGACAGAATTTTTTTGCCCAAACATAAAAAGCTAGTGCATTTAAAATGTGATTGTCACATGGTCTCCTACCATGAGCAGTCGGATGAAAATGCCACTCGACTGAGATTTCAAAATTGACTTTATGAACTAGTAAATTAGCAAAATTGCTTTTATTTTTAAAATGTTGACCTGCTCCAACTGTAAAATAATACAACTTCTTAGGTATTGCAAAATTTTTCTTTAAGTAATTGAAAACAGAAACATCATATATTATATCAACATTGATACAAATATGGAAGGATGTAATGTTTTTAGGTCTTATTAATATTCTTTGGTAACGTTAGATTTCAATTTTTTGTACAACTCTTATGTACGCGATGCATAGATCTGAGCTTGTGAGTAATTTGTTTGCTAAGTCAGTATTCATGTCTTCAAATTTTAAAACTTTTTTAAATTCTTGTTACGAGCAGCAGCACCTTTTTCTGAATACTGACCAACAGGAAGAGTATTTTATGAACAAAAGATGAAATATAATACCAAGAATACAGTCGAAAATAACGTTTGGCAGCATCTTGAGTATGGTTGTCAAAATCTTCAAGATCATTCACTTCTCCAATCACCAATTATCACAAGATGTAAGAAAATCTTCCAAACAACTTCTTATCAACACCAGTTATTTTAGAATCTAGCTCTGGGTCCGCAAAAAATCTTCGAGCTGTATTTCCATCATTGAATAGTCCATCTTGCATTGGTACATCTAATATTATCCCTGTTTCCTTTTTAAATCTTTAAATATGCTATTATTATCACCATTTCTTTTTTCTCGCTTGATTTTTCTTGTCATTTGTGAAATTTAAGATAATAAGCGATGTAAAGCATTCTAAGAATCGTACGACTTCGAACTAACAATTGTTAATCAAAAACTGTTTACTGGTCCCAAACTATTGCTAGAACAATTCCAATTAATATCTGAGTCATGAAAATTAAGTTAATTTACAATTCCTGAAAAGTAACCACAGCTGATACACGGAATTTGATTCGATTCCACGCTGCCTACACTTTCCCATCCAAATTGCGTTCAGCTTCTTCCCACGGCTGAGCTTTTTAATAAAGTGGGTTTCCTGAAAGAAACAGACAAACATTTCCTCATCAAGCTCATCAGTCGTCTACGAGAGTGAATATTGTAGACAATGCTTTTCGTTAGATCCATAATCAATACTGTCGCAACTCTCTTAATGGTGCTTGACTTTCCAAGGTTTATAACTATTAATTTCTTTCTGGAAATCATTTCTCCAATCAAGATCACTGTTTGTCTCCAGAATCATATCTACTTGTCATTTTGGGTTGCATACCTTAATGAAGTCTCTCTTTACCTTGTTCTGATACTAACGATCAGGATCGCTTCTTCCATATAGTTCACTGTAAAACAGGATATTCCTCTACTGAAAAAGCGACCGTAAAGAGGATTGAAAATGTAACCGTCAATAGTACATTAAATTAGACAGTAAATATAACCCAAAATATGATTGTAATAAGGGTGATATATTTAAAACAGAATTAACGACCGTAAATAGGGTCATTTACGGTCTTATTTACAATCGAATTTATGATATATTAGTGAATATGTATTTGGATCCACATGTCTGCTTTTATACGAAATGTTATTTATCTTTTCATTTAGAATCTTTATTGACAAATGAAATTTCCACTTCATTTGATGTTGACAAGATGCATCTGTTTTTATCCAAATTATAATTAGTTTTAAAATGATTTTAATATTTCTTACCGATATTATGAAATTAATATAATTATAATGACGAGATATTTAAAAAAAGAAAAGTGGTCAAGGAATTAATTATAATTTATATAAAGACTAGAACCGACGGTTCGTAAAAGGCAATAAGATAATGTAATGTAATATTAATAGAAGATATATTATATATCATACTACAATTGTTCGGTTTAGTTAAAGAATAAATATCTATTACTTAGAAGGAAGAATCTATTTAACAACTTAAGAAAAATTATAAAACTTTTTTTATCTTTCAGGACTTATAAATGAATGTAGAAAAATCACAATTTTTAAATCTGATTGCTTCAAAAGTAATAATTCAATTACAATATTTAATTTTTCCACATAATATTTTCCAAAACAACTATAGAATATTGTTAAGTTTTAAAATATATTAAAAATGCTGAAATTATTAAATAAATGTTTTTTTTTTGTTACAGGTGACACTATCTATTTCTATTCTTATTAGTCTTCACGTGTTCTTTCTTCTAGTCGTCGAAATTATTCCTCCTACTTCCTTGGTGGTGCCGCTTCTTGGAAAGTACTTAATATTTGCTATGATCCTCGTTTCCATAAGGTAAGAATATTTTCAAATTACTTATGTATAGAGTAATGTAGTTAAAGTAGTAACGTCAGAAGTGGACCACTCTTTGGTTTTCATGCTTTAGAATATTCAGAAATTAACATTTTTAAACATTTATTGCGTTTATTTGTAGAGAAAGGGGTTACCTAACTTTAGGCAAACACACATTTAAAAATTTTTTATTTTAACATATTGTTTAACATCTTTATACAAAAAAGAGAAATTTGCGATATCATGAATTTGCAGACAGAAATGGGCCACCTAAGTTTTTCATCTAAAATAAGTAAAAGGATCAAGCACTGCAATTGTTTATATTAAATAATTAATTTTGTCAATGAATAGTATTGTAAAACCAAACACAAGCCGTGCGTTTCGAAATTTTTATTTGATTTGTAGTATAAAGTAATTTATTTAATACTTTTCTCATTTTACATTATATTTTAAAGACTTACCCACTTCAGACAAAAGCAGTTCATTTTCCAAAACTAAGTTGTAAAACTCCGTGCAGTCCAAATTTTTAAAATTAAACGCAGTCTGAATAATTCCTTTAATGTCAGGAATTTCAAGGCGATTTCTTTCTTTTGTCCATTGGCTATTTATTAACGAAAATATTTGTTCGACATTCGCATTATGGGCGGGAATAGTAAAGCAAAATTGTGCTATTTTAAGAAACTCAAAAAATGTCAATATATGAGCATTTGAGAAAGTAATCACTCAATAATTCGTCTGTTAACATTTTTTCTTTTTCATCAGAATTTAAAAGTATTTCGACATGTGATTTCAAGTTACACCACTGATCAAAGAGTTTAGTTTCATCGACAGTTACATTTTTCGTTTGTAAATACTCCAGAGTTTTGGTAACTTGATCCCATTGTGGAACACTTTGCAAACTGATCCAATAAAAAATATTGAACTCTTTAAATGGTTTTGACCATGCTTCTAAATATCTTAAGCACTTTTCGTACATGCTGAAAATTTGGGTTTTTACATTCGCGGCTTCAATTTCAAAGCCATTTTCTGTAGCTTCACGAAAAATTTTAGTTACAGACATGGGCAGAAAGCTTTGAGAAATTCTCCCTTGCAAATATTTTTGACATTGATTTAACATTTCTGCTACTTCTAATATACAGTTGTTCGATCTTTCATTTCCTGCAATGTGCAAATGAAATATTGACATTAACGATTGCACAGCCCACAAATAACATTCCTCAAATTCAGATTCGAAAAAGTTTTTTAAAATCTTGGGTGCATCATTCAGAAAAAGAAAAAAATGATTTTAAGGGTTCGTGCATTTGCATTTGAAGAACTCTATGAACTGCCGGAAATAACGACAACCATCGACTTTTAGAGTGTTTCAATAAAACTCTATATTCCGTCTCAACAAAATCATAAAAGTTCTTCAGTTTTTCAGTTCTAACTTTATACATTGAAAAATAGTTATAGATTTTAAGGATAATAGATTCAAGATCTTTGCCTGCTCGCTTAACACATCCTAAATTCGTATTACAGTTGTCACCAGTGAAGGCTATACATTTGTTGTTTAGACCACGTGTTTTTAAAACTTCAAGAATCATGTTGGAAATTGTTTCAGATGCTTCATCTTTTATATTTTGAATATCGAGAACTTTTGTCTGGATTCCCTTATTTTTATAATCAAAATATTGGATACAAAGAGGAAATAGTTTTGTTGAACCATGGTTACTGCCATCAGTTTGTACTCCCAAATAAAAAATATTTTGTAAATCATTCATAGTCAGTCTTATAGTTTAAGGAGCCAAAACTCCATTAATTATAGCTTCTGTTTTTGTTCGACCACAAGAAATCATTTGAGCAATTGTTGAATCTTTGTAAATAACTTTATGAAGCTGCGTACTACAATCAGTTGATCTGTAACTTTGATGATTACTTTAAAAATGTTTTCTTTAAGGTGTTTCTTGATGCCTAACCTACTTGATCCAAAGAAGTGGAAAAGAACTAAAGAAGTTAGATATGTACAATAGCAAACCACATTTTCAATCAGGAGTGGGATATGCTGATATGCTTACTGGGTAAACGTCAGCTGTTATTGTTTTACATAACTTTATGCCCAATTTTAATTATATATGCAGTCCTCCTTCGAGAATTACTTTCAGTGGTAGAGAAAGTGGTGGTGTTTTAATTTGTAACAAAATTGAAAATTGTAAAATGGGTTGCATAATTTAAATCAATTGTATCTCCATATAGTTGGTAACAGTTCATTATTTGCAATACGAAAATCTTTGTACACTAAATCGAACAGAATGGGTAAACTGCTCGGGGATATTATGGAACTTAATGAATTTGTATCATTAAATATTCCTACACCTCATGACTTAATGGGAACATTTACTTATAAGGGATCTTCCGGATCCAGCATTTTAGACTTAGTTTGATATTTTCACAGTGGATTCTATATGTTAGGAAATCTTAAAACATACCACAGGGCCACTCTCTCAGATTACTGACCAATTTTGACACATTAGTTTTCTATGAGTTTCTGAAAAGCACTATATTCTTTCTGTCTGACAGTAAAATTCAATAAAAGTTTATTTTTAATAGATACATACAATTTAAGTTTATTGTTTATGACGTTTCATATCTCTTCGATAATTCTCCTACAAAGAAGTATCATGAATTTGGTAAAGAAAAAATTTAATTATTTTCAAATGCAACTTATCATTACTGAAAAACGTGAAATATTTTTCTCATTCGAGAAGCGGATTCAATTTCAAGAACATATAAAATCACGTATTTCTCCAACGACGTGTGTGAGTGAATTAAAAAAAAGTCGAGTTCAATCAAAGCAGGTTCTCGCGAAAAAGTGTAAGGTTGGATTTCTGATAGTTTTCCTCGTCGCTGAACTATCAATTCGCTCGTTAATTTCCCCAGGGAAGTTCTTCGCGTAAAAGGCGTACAAAGAAACCCAAGTGTACTAGAGAAATTTTTACACGTCTCACATTCTCTAATACTTAAACTATTCTAACAGCAGCATACTATATCATTCGTCTAAAACTCTAAATGAAATATAAAGAACATGAATAACATTTTTCTAACCCATTACAAATTATAATTACAAAATTGACAGTTTTCAATAAAGTCATTATTTGTTTTGCCTGCAATCCTAAGAAAATTTTTGAAAATTGTTCTCTTAATTAACAAAAATGAACATTTAGTCATATAGAATGAGAATTTAAAGTTGATATGCGCGATTAAGAATGAAAATTATAATTTTTTTCTAATTAATTGTTGAAATGTTACATAATCAGGTTCATGATAAAAAATGATGGTATTATTGTGGATAGGTATAATTAATAATAAATTATTTATATTTTCTATTAATTTGCACAATAATTGCAATTAATAGTATTATTAACTATACTAAGAAGATTTATAACACGATCGGTAAATAAATATCCTTTTCAAACTATTAGTATCAAACAAGTCCTTAAACCGCCTATGGATCGAAGTAAAACAAGCAGGAAACTAATCCTCAAACTTGTCGCCTTCCTATAAGTCAGTTATGTTTAACTTTTCTGTATATATACGCAAAGTTTACAATAAAATGCACTTTTATGAAAACTAGTAATAGAATTACGATAAACTTGTTAACAATTAATACTTTCTGCAAGTTTACTAACGTAAAGGAACGTTCTCAAGAAGATAAACATGAATAGAATTTATTCCGTATTTTAAATTAAATGAATTATTTTAGAAGTACTTTACATGCAACAGTTTTATACTGATAATGAATTGTAAAATTGAATATTTAAAAATTGTAGTACTAAGAAAGTAACAAGTTTACTTATCAATGCATAAAGTACTTATTGTATCTATTGAAAACTACCATATGGGTTTCGATCTAGGTTCGTAGACTCTCGTACAACACATAAAATTATGTTTATTTTGTAAATATTTTAATGCAAAGTAATTAAAATATTGCAGCATTTACATAGGTAAATATCGGCCTGTAATTAAATATTGCAGACAAAAAACGCTTTCTGAAATAAGTCAATAAAAAATATTCAAGTTCATCCTTTTTCGTGTTCTTAAACAATTGGGAATCTTCTAAGATGCAGTTTGTACCAGGGGGCACTTGTACCAAAGAATTTTTAGTGATGACACAAATTACAATTACGTTTCAGTGAATTCAGCTTAATTTCTTTCTATTATAAATGAAAACTCTGGCTCTCATATCTGCTTATAAAAATTCAAATAGAGATGACAGAATCGTATTAAATAATACAAAATCGTTAACTCGATATGCTATAAAATAGTATAACTTCATAAAAATGAAGCAAGAAAATCAAACATGAATACGACCTCTCAACCAATAAAATATCACTGAATGATAAAAACATAGTAATACCTACGAAATTCGTTTGCTGTTTCGCGTAGTATGGTAACTCACACTGGTTATTATAGTTAAATATTGACTAGTAGATGGCGAATGTGTTCATTAATAATAAAGACAGACCTCGTTGCAATTTGAAAGAGCTTTTACTTCTCAGAAGATATGGGCGTGCGCTCTGAAAAGAGCCCTTACGGGCCAATGAACTTGTGCGGGGTGTGAATGGAAACACTTCTGAAATTAATGTCCCAGAATGTCGACGACCGGTCGACCCAGATTTCCACTAACGAATTCCAATCCAGAATATCCTTAAGTTTAGAAACTAAATAAAAGTCGTCACAATAATCCTAAAATTTGAACAGGAATTAAATGGTTTTACATCTGTAATAAAAAATGTTTGTGAGATTTTGCAATCGAAGATTTTATGTAAACAAAATATCTTCAAATGTTGATACATAAAAAAATAATCTGTTCACAAGGAAAGTATAAATATTAATCATAGACCACAAAAGGTTAAACTTTGAATGCGTCAAAAGAACCTGCTACAAAACAAACCTTCAAACCTTAATTGAGCACACAACTTTAGATTATTTTTTTCTTTTTAGACACAAATTTTACCCAACAAAAA